ACCCTCCCTGCCACCGTTTTGGAGCTGGGCCTGTTCCTCCCATCCACCCACCCCCCTCTACATTGGCCTGGGCCCTGCTGCTTTCCCCACCCCTGCGTTGCAAGGCAGCAGTGTGGGAGAGAGAAGGGGCAAAGTCAACAGCACTGGCCTCAGGGGGTGGGGAGGGGCCCTGCTGTATTGGCCAGGGGGGGCAATGGGGACAGAGCCCAGCGTCCAGCCCTGCGTCCCCACTCCCCTCATCCAGAAAGGGGGGTGCTCCTCCTTTCCCCCACTCTTGTTGCAGGGCTAGCCCAGGCCTGGCCCTCACCCCCACCCTCCCCACTGCCATTGCAGGTGCACCCCCCCATACCCTCCATTTTGGGGCCAGGCTGGGCCTGGCATGCCCCCCTGCCCTCCCTGCCACCATTGTGGGGCTGGTGCCAGGTGTACCCCACCCCTACATTCCCTGCCACCATTTCAGGGCCACTCTCTCCCACCTTCCATTTCAGGGTGGGGCCAGGCCTGGAGTGCCTCCCCACCCTCCCTGCCACCATTTTGGGGCCAAGTTCACTCCTCCCAGGCCCACTACTCCCCACCCATCCCCACATCGGGAGGGAACAGTGCGGGACAGAGGGGGTGAGACCAGCAGCGCTGGCCTCAGGATGGCCACCATATTCACTGCCTGCAGAGAGCAGGGTGGGGGGCTGAGGCCAGTGCTGCTGGCCAGGCTCCCTCCCCCCTGTGGTGTCCCAGTCCCACTCCCCCTGCACCGCTGCTGCCACCTCCCGTTCCATCTGCTCCATTGCTGCCACCTCCAGGGAACAGGGCGGGGGGTGGGGTGGGACCAGCGCGCCCATTCCCACTCCATCCCCTATGTCCCCACCATCATGGTGGCTCTCCGCCACGCCACCATCTCGTGTCTAAACTCTGTATTTGCACTCTGATTTGTTGTTTCCATCAGCCCATCAGTGTGAATGAAGCGTTATAGACAGACTTTTATGATAGATTGATAGATAGACTGATTAGTGGTGCTTCATTTTAATCATGGAAAAATGTGGATTTCGGGTTACTTTTTTAAATACAAAAATTGGGGTTTTATTAATCAGAGAAAACCATGATACCTGTTTATTAGTAGGTAATGTTGTAACTCTCTGTGTTCTTCCTATTTACAGAGTTCTATATGAAGGGAAAGAACGGGTAATTTCAGGCTGCGAGGTGATCCAGGCTACTCCATATGGCCGATGTGCCAATGTTAACAACAGTTCAGCTACTTCCCAACGAATCTTTATTACCTTTCGAAGGGCTCCTCCTGTTCGGCCTCAGAATTCTTTGGCTGTAACAGATATTTGTGTTATTGTGACCAGCAAAGGAGAAACCCCTCCCCATACGTTCTGCAAAGTTGACAAGAACTTAAATTGTGGCATGGTGAGCATGAACTTGAGTTTATTTAAAGCTTTCAGTCTTTCAGAAACTGAGACAATGCAGGAAGGTTTTTTGCATTCTTGTTACTGTTATTGCTACATGTATTTCACTGTTACTCAGTATGTTTTCATTTTGAGTATGACTTATGACATCTTAGTTTGTTGTTTCTGCTCTTCCTCGGGTACCTCTGCCAGGATTATTTCCATGAATTTACCACTCACTTTCTCAATGTGAACATTGACAGACTATTCCTCTTAAGTTCCGCTGAAATGGGCATTTTCCTGCTTTCCTGCCTGCCTTCCACTTTGGATGCCGCAGACCGGGCTTGCTTGGAGCTGCATAGGGGTGACTCTCTGGCTTTCTATCTCTTTTATGACTCTCACCTGTCTAAAGGTCTCTTACTTTTTGTTTATCTCCCTGTCTGATATTTTTTCTTGGTATTTTCGCAGTGGTTTTTCTTTTTTTCTTTTCTCTGTCCCTTCCCCCTTTTTACTTCTGGTTTTTCTGTCTGTGAGTTGCCTTTGTCTACTTTGCAGCTTCTTTCTTACTGTTTTTCTTTCTTCCTTTCCTTTCTTCAAGCACACCATGCTATGGCGGGCAGTGCCCGCCTTTGAGGCATGCTGTGTTCTTGAGGAAGCACTGTACCATGTGGAGGATAGCCGTCATGACCGGTTTGGGTAATTGGGCAGACTGCAACTCTAAGCTCTCACCGCACCCTGGGCTCTCACCGGGCTCCTTTTTGCTTTTTTTCTTCGTATTGGAAGCTGAAGGTTTTGTCACGTGTATGATTGGATAGAGCAGGGTATCACAGAATCATAGAAGCAGGGTCCGAAGGGACCTTGTAGATCTTCAAGTCTGACCCCCAGCCTGGGCAGGAGAAAAAACTGGGCTCAAATGATCCCAGCTGGGTAGGCATCAAGCCTCCTCTTAAAGACCCCCAGAGTAGGAGCCAGCACCACTTCCCTTGGAAGTTGGTTCCAGATCCTAGCCGTCCTAACTGTGAAGTAGTTCTTACGGATGTCTGATCTAAACCTACTCTCCAACAACTTGTGGCCGTTATTCCTTGTTATGCCAGGGG